CAGTAGAGCATTACACAGTTGTACCGTATAACCTTATTGGAGTGTGATTTGTGACATACGAGTGTAATGTGTGCTAGAATTGGTTGAATGCACAATGTTTGGGTTGTCTTTGTATCATCAATAAATGTTTTTTTACATAGTGGGGACTAAGGCTGCAATCAAGTTGAGCGGCTCACGAGCGCTCGAGTCAAACTCGATCAAACTCGAGCTCGAGCAGTTCAATCGAGCAAACGAGTCAAGTCTAGAATATCATTTCAAGAGCCGTGAGCAACTTTTATTTACATAAATACTCTATATAGTTTAATTATCAATATTAGAACACCAAGACTAAAATTGTCAATTTAGATAAAATTGACAATTAAATAGTACCTTTATATTTAAATTTTTGTTGTTAAAATTTCGAGTCGAACTCGAGTCATGTCGAGCATTGAGTCGATCTCGAGCATCGAGTCGAGTTCAAGCATTCTTTTATTTTTTTCACGAGTTGAGTCGAGCAACATTTTACATGGCTCGTTGAACTCGAGCTCAAGCAGTGAAGAAAAAGGTTTGTTTTGCGCTCGTCAAAGTCCATGCTCGAGTCAACTCGACTCATTTGCAGCTCATGTTGGGTTGAATACATTGTGACAAGTAGACATGGCCACGGGTTGGCCCTGTCGCCGAACCTACCCGGAATCGTCTCTGAATCAACAGGCTCAGAACAGAACTCGTAGTTTGACCGAGCCAATTTTTGCGCCACCTATTATAAAATTTTTAACCGATGAGCCGGGTTAGGGTCGGCCTCGAACTGCCCTATAGATAGCCAGCCAATTTTTTCAAATTTTTTTTAATTTTTTTTATTATTTTTGGGCGGGTTGGGCCGAGCCGGGCCAGACCCACTGATACTCATTGGCAGCACGATGGACCATATTGATCTGAGCCGTTGGCGATTCAACGGCCACATTATATGTATATATATATATATATGTGTGTGTGTGTGTGTGTGTGTGTGTGTGTATTAAAGTCAGTTTTGGGTTCGAACCGGCCCGCATGGAGTTAATTTAGGGCTGTAAACGAGCCGAGCGAGCTCGAGCTCTTAACAAGCCGAGCCGAGCTCGGCTCGTTAGATAAATGAGCCAAAAATCAAGCTGAGCCTTAACGAGCCGATCTCGAACTTTAACGAGCCGACTATAAAAAATTATATAAAATTCTCTTTTCGAGCCTTATCGAGCCGAGCCGAGCTCAGCTCGTTAACCAAACGAGCTTTAATTATGCTCGAGCTCGGCTCGTTAAGATCTCAAACTCGAGCCGAACTCGAGCCGAGTCGAGCTAGGCTCATTTAATTTAACAGCACTAAGCCATTCTATCATTTTCACCTCTCTTTTTTTTATTTTATAAAATATAGTCTTCAAGTTATATAATATAAAATGTTGAGTGCTCTGGTTTTCTTGTCGTGATCGCCACCACCACAAAGCGTAAATAGGCCTTATGAATAATAGTGTGAATCTTTTACCTTGCCCTAGATTATGTTTTATAGAAGTTGGATGACTTAAATCTTCTACTTACATCATTTCCATACAAAAATGAACATCAAGATTATCCCTACGTAGTCTAGAATTTTAGTGCAACAACAAAAATAGTAGAGAGAAGGAGGGAGGGAGGGAGAGTATCTTTCACCTTAACTTATTTTAATAGAGGTTGTACGACTTAGTGCTCTTATTTTCATGCCAAGAACTTCTCAACCTATGTTTTCGTTGGACTACGGTTCACATATTGGGCCTCTCGTGAAAATTAGATTTTTGCTTTACTAAACGGCAATTTAATTAGAAACACATAAAAAGAGTGTCACCGCATAATCAAAGGGTTACAAAACAAATTTTAATACTACAACTCAAGCGCAATACAGAATAAACCGATCGGAGGAAGTCACTACAGGCAGTGCGCCCCTTCACAACCATCAAGGCGAGACTATATATACAAGAAATAGGGTCAACAATAAAAAGAAGCACTTGGAGAACAACTTCATTAGAAATAGATGTCTTCGACTATCACGATGTAAGAGGACTCCAATGGGGTTCTATTGTTCAGTATTTGTGCTATTTCCTTTGCATCTAGTCTACATAACACCTTGTTCCACTTCAATCTCATGATCTTCTCCCGAATCCATCTAACTACAAGTAAAGTAGCTTCCACTAGAGTTGTTGCAACCTCCATAGAAGTACTCCAATCCATCTAATGATTATTGTTGTACAATGCATAATATGCATTTCCACCCATAGACATTAGTTTTAGCCTTATATTTTTGTAATTTACAACGGTTTCTTGTGGAAATTAGATTCATTAGTTACATTAAAGTAAGACATTAGTTAAAACCTTATACTTTTGTAACTTCCAGAGGGTAAATTGCTACAAGTATTATTATTTGTACACCTATACGTCTATTTAGATGAGTTTTTCATCACTAAAGAAACAATAAATAACTTATGAAGTACTTTTCTACTAACTATTAGTAGTTTGCGTCTAAAAGCCATGATTAATTACTAATACATATACATATATAACAATGAGAGCTCCAAAATGGTGCTATGAGCGTGACATATGAAGCAAGCATTTCATATAATATTATGACAAACTAAAGGTTCACACATTGCTAGGGTAACATGTGGGCGCGGCCAGCTGTTATTCGACTTATTGTTATTTATCCAATCATCTTGTGAGTATACGGAAGTGTGTTTATTAGAAGGGCCACTTTCGTTTTTTTTAATTTATGACAATTAAATGGAGCAGCCTTCTTTATGTGGTCACGCCTAACTATGGGCATTAATTAATATATAAGAAATATTTATCATTGCATTAGTTGAATCACAAGTTAAAATTCAATCACATTTAATTTTCAGCTCAACAATCTTCTTTAAGACTACATATATACAACTCTAATTCAAATGGTCCAATTACTAATTAATGAAATTATACAAAACATGTTTATTTATTGAATGTGGAAATTTCGACCGGTTTAGAATAATTTAGATCATTAGATTGTCTACATTGAATTCTCTTGTCTGAAGTGAACGTACAAAAGATTATTAGCACGTCATCTATAAAATGTTCCCATGTAT